ACACACACACACACACACACACACACACACACACACACACACACACACACACACACACACACACACACACACACACACACACACATACACACAACTGAAGACAGAAGAGTTAGGGGGTACATGATCACCACGTACAAAATTCTCAGAGGAATTGACAGGGTAGATAAAGATAGGCTATTTAACATAAGAGGCACACGCACAAGGGGACACAGGTGGAAACTGAGTGCCGAAATGAGCCACAGAGATATTAGAAATTATTTTTTTAGTGTCAGAGTGGTTGACAAAAGGAATTCATTAGGAAGTGATGTGGTGGAGGTTGACTCCATACACAGTTCAAGTGTAGATATGATAGAGCCCAGTAGGCTCAGGAACCTGTACACCAGTTGATTGACAGTTGAGAGGCGGTACCAAAGAGCCAGAGCTCAACCCCCACAAGCAGAATTAGGTGAGTACAAATAGGTGAGTATACACACACACTCACACACAAACACCCACACAAACAAACAAACAAACAAACACACACAAACACACAGTCTAGTAGCCTGGTGGATAGCGCGCAGGACTCGTAATTCTGTGGCGCGGGTTCGATTCCCGCACGAGGCAGAAACAAATGGGCAAAGCTTCTTTCACCCTGAATGCCCCTGTTCCCTAGCAGTAAATAGGTACCTGGGAGTTAGTCAGCTGTCACGGGCTGCTTCCTGGGGTGTGTGTGTGTGGTGTGAAATAAAGTAGTTAGTAAACAGTTGATTGACAGTTGAGTGGCGGGCCGAAAGAGCAAAGCTCAACCCCCGCAAACACAACTAGGTGAACACAACTAGGTCAACTAGGTGAACACACACACACACACATGAAGAAAGATGAAGATAGACAGAGACTACAAGATGACCTGGACAAACAGGAGAAATGGTCTAGAAAATGGCTGCAGAAGTTCAACTCAGGAAAGTGTAAATTAATGAAATTACGCGAAGGGAGCAGAAGGCTGAACACAAGGTACCATCTGGGAGGTGAAATCCAGCAAGAGTCAAATAGAGAGAAAGATCTGGGGGTTGATATCACACCGAACCTGTCCCCAGAGGCCCACATCAAAAGGATATCATCAGCAGCATATCTAGGTTGGCCAACATAAAAACTGCCTGTAGAAACTTGTGTAAGGAATCGTTCAGGACCCTGTATACCACTTGTGGCAGACCAATCCTGGAATATGCAGCTCCTGCCTGGAGTTCATATCTAGTAAAACACAAGATAAAGTTAGAGAAGATTCAGCGGTATGCCACCAGACTTGTCCCGGAACTGAGAGGCATGAGCTACGAGGGAAGGCTAAAGGAGCTGAACCTCACGTCCCTGGAAAACAGAAGAGAAAGGAGAGACATGATAACCACCTACAAAACTCTCAGGGGAAATGACAGGGTGGACAAAGACAAACTCTTCAGCACGGGTGGAACACGAACAAGGGGACACAGGTGGAAGCTGAGTACCCAAATGAGCCACAGAGACCTTATAAAAAAATTCAGTGCCAGAGTAGTTAGTAAATGGAATGCACTAGGAAGTGATGTGGTGGAGGCTGACTCCATACACAGTTTCAAATGTAGATATGATAGAGCCCAGTAGGCTCAGGAATCTGTACACCAGTTGATTGACAGTTGACAGGCGGGACCAAAGAGACAAAGCTCAACCCCTGCAAGCACAAATAGGTGAGTACAAATAGGTGAGTACATATTCTAAGTAAAAGGGCGCGGAGAAACTATAGAAATAACAGGACACTTGAGAGCAGAGAAGGACACCAGAGCGCCAGGAATGAATACGTCAGGGTGAGAAAAGAGGCAGAATGGAGAAGAGAATACAGCATGGAGTCTGTATCTCGGCAAGCACAAGACTAAAATGCTTCAGAGATATGCCACCAGAGAAGTGCATGTGCTGAGGGGTAGGAGCTACAAGGAGACACTACGGGAACTAAAACTCACGTCGCTGGAAGAAAGAAAAGTTAGATGAAACATTATCACCACATACAAGATTCTCAGAGGAATTGATAAGGTAGATAAAGACAATTTATTTAGCAAAGGGAGGCACACACACACACGAAAGGGGACACAGGTAGAAACTAAGTACCCAAATGAGCCACAGTGACAATAGAAAGAACTTTTTTAGTGTCAGAGTAGTTTACAAATGGAATTCATTTGGAAGTGATGTGGTAGAGGCGAACTCCATACTCAGTTTCAAATGTAGATATGATAGAGCCTAATAGACTCAGGAATCTGTACACCGGTTGATTGCTTGTTGAGAGGCGGGATCAAAGAGCCGAAGCTCAACCACGGCAAGGACAACTAGGAATACACACACAGACACACAGACAGACACAGACACACAGACACACACAGACACACAGACACACACACACACACACACACACACACACACACACACACACACACACACACACACACACACACACACACACACACACACACACACACACACTAAGAAGTTAGTTAGGGGTCGAGCTCGTATATGAAAGCACATCTTGGTGAGTACAATTGAGTACCCACACACACACACACACATACAGACAATATTGACATCATTATACACAAATCTCACAGAGTTGAATGATGGTAATAATTTAAGTTTTACATATATATATATATATATATATATATATATATATATATATATATATATATATATATATATATATATATATACATATATATATATATATATATATATATATATATATATATATATATATATATGTATATATTATCATTTGCTAGAAATAATATTAATTATTATAACTTTAAATTCTAAATAAAATTCTTAATTCGTAGAGAAATTGAACAATATCCTCCATGGGTCCTCTAGGGATCTATCAGTTCGCAGAGAATGCAACCAACACGTCAATTGTGTGGTGTTGCAAGATGGTGTGTTGCACACCTTTACTAACACAAATGGGAAGATACAATTTCTTTAGTAGATGATGCACTTTATACTTGCGTGCACTTTTCTTGCATGATCTTAGGTGTTCCTTGTGAGTATTTTTCCCCCCTCCTTTTATACCCTGAGTAATAATATTGGTTCTCTTGGTTGAGAGTCTAATGTGGACTTATTTTTCTGCTTCTGTGCACTCAAGGCGGATATTTTTTAGTCCAGTTGATTCTCAGAGGCGCTTGTATCGTTTCCTGTGATAAGTACAGACACACACACGAGTCGGAACGCTTTTCAACCAACGTCTAAAAGACTCAGGCCTCTCTTCTCCTGACAGCCTTGCTCCCCTCCTTTCCAAATAGATAAGCAGACAGCCCGGCAGGAAGACTGTCAGACAAATAGACATCAACTTAGGCAGGCAAACGCGAGACAAGAAACCAGCTAGGCAGAGGCATAAAGAGAAATGGGCGGGGAAGACATAGACAGAGTAGCAGGCAGGTGTGCACTTAGACAGGCTAACCGGCTGCTAGACAATTAGGCTGACAGGGAGGCAAGCAATAAGCAAGAAAACCTGTGGTTACAGGCAAACTTTAATAATGACTATTAAGAGAAAGTCTCATGAGGTTAGAAGAAATAATATGACTAATATTATTTGTATACTGGGTGAGAGAAGTGTAGAGAAGAGAAGAGAGAGAGAGAGAGAGAGAGAGAGAGAGAGAGAGAGAGAGAGAGAGAGAGAGAGAGAGAGAGAGAGAGAGAGAGGGGGGGGGGAAGGGTAAAAGAGAAGGTTAGTCGAAGGATATCTTCGTTCTGTCATATTCTGAGGAGCTGAGAACCTGACCGCAAGTCATTTCCTCCGGAGGATCAAGCCAGTGAAACATTCCTGAGCTGTGTCTGGATACACAGGCGACACACGGAACGACAATGTCCTCGAGTGCTGTCGATATCTGCTTAAGTCGCTGCTGCCAATCTTTCTTTCTTGCAGCACATTCGACAGACTATTTCAGGAGCGCTGTCGTCGTCGCAGACGGTCCCAGAGTCCAGCTAGACTCATGTCCATAGTTTCCGAGGTATCACTTTGGAAGGTCATGTTGCTCCTGTGGTCTTTGTGACCTCTTTGGTCTGTGTGACCCCCTCTGGTCTGTGTGACCCCCTCTGGTCTGTGTGACCTCTCTCGACAGCATCTTGAGTGATTGTCTTGTGTGTGATTGAGAGGTTGAAAGTTAGGAAAAATGAGGCGATTAAAGTCAGTAAGTAATACGCGTAGAATTAAATAAGTACAGCCCTACTTTTGCATAACGTGTATTAGTGCTGTTAATTGGCTTGTTACATAAACAACAAAAATGCAATCTTAACACGTGTGATATATTCCTTACGTGTAGCAATAACCAGAAACCTGAAGGAGTATCTAAATAAGAATCTAAAGCGATTATTTCAGCAAACCAGAATTAGAACAGCCAGGCAGATAGAAAAAAATAGACGAGCAGTCTGGTGAGCATAGACAGACACACAGACGGACAGACGAGACAGATGATAGCTAGTAGACAGGTGAGTAGTAGGGAAGGGGAGGACGGAGCTACTTGCTACACACTCTGAGAAGACCTCAATAATTATTTCAGACATTCGCTTTTTATAAGCTGTTTTCCTTGTCGCTTTCCACTCCTGGTTTAGCTGTCATTCTGTTGAACTTCACCTGACTCCAGAAGTGTTCCTCTCTTCACCACTGCTTCAGGGGGCTGTCTTAGCCATCGACAACCGTTGTCTCCTCTAACTAGCTTCGGAAACTGCCTTTCCTATATATCTACAGGTGCTGTCTTGTCTTCAACACTCCTAAACTTTCATGAACAGTTAAATTATCTCCCCCCGCAAACAGTTCCTCCAATGCTTGACTTTTTCTTACTATTTACATCACTCTTATTTTGCATATATATATATATATATATATATATATATATATATATATATATATATATATATATATATATATATATATATATATATATATATATATATATATATATATATATATATATATATATATATATATATATATATATATATATATATATATATATATAATCTTTTTAGCAGTATCAGTGTCAAGACAAAATCTCGCGGAGCCTTGACTTCATTGTAACTCAAAATGTTTTGGTGAACCGTCAATGCCTTCATGCTAATGGTTTGGTAGATCATCAGTGGTCCCGTGGTAATGTTTCGATTGACCATCAATAATGTCATGCTAATGGTTTGATGGACCGTCAATATCCCCCATGCTAATTAAGCTCCCTCCCTGAATCATTTCTCCCAAGGCTCAACAAGAGACTTACGGACTTCCCGCGGATATTGACTCCCACTAAGACGCTGGTACGCTTCTTCATATACACCCTCTAAAACATCCTACATCGCCCTCCAAAAAAAAACTTCCATTTTCATCCAAAAACACCCTGCAACTCCTATCAAAATACTTTCTATATCCCTCGAAAACATTCTCCAACTCCATGTAATATACCTTTCATTTCTCTCCAAAACACTATCTAATGCCCTCCAAACCACCCTTAATTTCCCTAAAAAAAGAACCTTCTATTTCCCTACAAAACACCCTCCATTTCCATCCATTTCCTTTTACTTTCCATCCACATAATTCTTCTTCTACGTATTTTACCTCCTTCCTCCCCTACACAGATTTTCCTTCTTCTGCCTCTTCGTTGTCGCCCCCGTACGAATCTTTCTGTTATAGGCGCCTTGAAGGTTGGGTGTTGAGGCCGGGAAGATGTAGCCAGTCACACTCAGGATTCACCCTCCACCCCCCATCCCTCTCAGGTGTGCCAGCGGGGGCCGCGAGAGGCGGGAAGGCAGCCAAGGGCGCTGGTGGCGGCTATGGCGGCAACCATGGCCTTACCAACTTCTCCGTGCGGGAGATGACATGGGAAGGTAAGGATAGGAAGAGAGAGAGAGAGTTTTCGGCAGGGGCGGAGGGGGGGTGGGGAGAGAGAGAGAGAGAGAGAGAGAGAGAGAGAGAGAGAGAGAGAGAGAGAGAGAGAGAGAGAGAGAGAGAGAGAGAGAGAGAGAGAGAGAGAGAGAGAGAGAGAGAGAGAGAGAGAGAGAGAGAGAGAGAGAGAGAGAGAGAGAGAGAGAGAGAGAGAGAGAGAGAGAGAGAGAGAGAGAGAGACAGACAGACAGACAGACAGACAGACAGACAGACAGACAGACAGACAGACAGACAGACAGACAGACAGACAGACAGACAGACAGACAGACAGACAGACAGACAGACAGACAGACAGAGAAGCATAGACAAAAATACAGACAGGAAGAAAGAAAAATAGAGAGGGGGAGGTGAGAGTAAGTGGCAGATATAGATAGATAATAAAATAGAGACTGAGAAAGCAAGAGAACTACACAGAATCAGACCAAGAGAAACAAAGCGAGAGAGAGAGAGAAATATAATGTTAGGCAGGCGGAGAGAGACATGAAAGAAGAGAAACAAACACATAAATACAGTAAAGCAAAAGAGAAAAAACTTCATTCACGTTTGGAGAACTTTATGCATAAAATTTCGAACAATTGCATCATTAACAAGCCCAGCAGTTTTGCGCATCAACGCTCTCCGTTCATCAACCAACAGCTGTCAGGATCAATTCCCGCTTCAGGAAGGAAAAGCGCATGGGAACGTTTCCTTTCGCCTGATGCCACCTTTCGTGAAGCAGTGGAAAGGTAACTAGGAGTCAGGCGGCTGTTGGGTGGAGAAGTCAGACGCTGGCCCAGAGGGAACCTCGACTGCCACACACCAGACACAGGTTTCTTGGTTCCTGAGGGAGGCAAAACCACTTGAGAAAGTAAATATGAATTAAGGAGTGTTCCCGGAGAAATGCAAATGGTGGAAATCTTCGTCGCTGAATTAACGAGTCTCGTCATTAAGATGCAGTGTAAACGATTCGTCTGCTTAGAATTTAATGCTTTCCAGTTTAGTCCAAAGGTGTAGGAACCTTTTCTTGTTTGGACGCCAAATTGAAATTAACTGCCCTTCAATACGGCCACATTTTATATTAGATATACTGCAAAAATGTAAATCTTTTGTGAAAAGTGAAATTAATGTCAACAACTTTAACTGAAAGCAGGTAATTAAAGAAAATTATAAGCTTTAATTACCTTTTTATGATGTTTTTAAATTGTGTTTGGCTCCTACACAGAGGTGCAGCTTAGGCTGGTCCTCCAGGTGCATTTAGATTACTTTGAGAAGACCACAGGAAGGCTGCCTGTTGATGATTCCGAGGATCAACGTCACCGTGGCCCTGCCTCTGACCAGGCCGCCTGGTTGCTGGTCTGATCAGCCTGGCTGTTCGATGCGGTTCCGAGCAGCCTGGCGTACATGTCATAGCCTGGTTGATCAGGTATTCTTTGAAGGTGCTTGTCGAGTTCTCTTTTGAACACTGCGGGAGGTCCGCCAGCTATGCCCCGTATGCGTAGGGGAAGAGTGTTGAAAAGCCTTTGATGTTGATGGAGTTCTCTCTCAGCGTGCCTATAGGCTCACGAAATGACCACAAGGCCGCGTGCAGCCATCCCCCACCCCTCCTGCTTTACACTCACTGCATAGCAGCAAAAGGGTTTTAACAGAATTTAGAAGCAATTCGACTTTTTACTCTACTTTTGACTAAAGACTTGATTCATAGGTGTGCTTGTAAATATTGTTGAAAGATTGTAGTGAACAGCAAAGTGAGAGGTTGTTTGTCAGCTGACAAAAAGCCAGCAGGAGATAGACAGTAGACTGCAAGGTGACAGCAGTGTGATTGCCAAGCTTATTTACAAGTACAAGTGGCGTGTTCTGTGGGGAAATGCGGGTCAGAACTTCTCATTCCTTTGTTCCTGCACCATATAGTGTAATGTGTATCACATGATTGTAGTTGCGGATTAGCTGATGTTGGTAGTGCTCTGTTGTGGGATGGTTCTAACTGCCTGTGTCTCCCACATCTCCCCGCAGACATCGTGCTAGCCATGCAGTTGTCAGCTATGTGCTTTGGAGCTCTGCTGGCGCTGTGTATCGTCGCCTGCTGCGCCTACAAGATCTGCGGCCCGGCCGAGGAGATCGACTACAGCCCGCGATATACCGCGATTAAGGAAAATCACCCTCGGTTACCTCCGGAGCTGCTACGGGAGATCTACACTCTACCGACGTCTGCCTCCGGCCACTCGCAGCAGTCCGGCAGGACCCGCAAATCGGTCACCACCAACACCACGCCGTCCGAACCGACAACTCCGGCCCCCAACCGACCACCAGAGTCGGGGATGATGGCCGACTCTGTCAGCATCTTCTTTGAAGGCGGGCCGCGGGTGACGTCGGTGAACCGCGAGACTCTGGGCGGCGGGAGAAACGCCATATTGGGACATCTGCCAAACGGGAGGCCTCGAGGACCTCCGCTGGTGGATATGACCCCAGCGGTGACCCCGGCGCCCCCAAGACGACCCGCTGAGATGACTCCAGCGCCCCCGAGACGACACGCTGAGATGACCCCAGCGGTGACCCCAGCGCCGCCGAGACGACCAATCACCGTCCAGAACACACGAGCAGACGTCTATAAACCACCTCGGCTCTTAAACTTGAACTGTATGCTTGACGGAAGGCCGCGGCTGCTGACACTCTCGGCCATGTCGTCGTCGCGAGTGGCAAAGGAGGTCGCGAATCACGGGGCAGCGAACAGACTCGCGGAGTACAACCAGCACAGCTCCACTTTGGACCTGGCTAAGGCGGCTGCTGCCTCCATCCCTTCCCTCTCTCACACACACAGGTCGCTCTCAGAACCCTACACTTCGCTAGTCTAGTGCCCTCCCTCAGCACCTCCCCAGCACTCCACACTACCAGCGCACACAAACCTCAACACGCTCTGCCCTCAACCATCCGGAATCGAATGTCCATTTTCATCACAATGCTGTTTATGTTTTGTTTGTTTTTTCAAGCGGGAAGACCATTTTCCCGCTCCAATGTACAGATTTGATAAAGCATTGGACAACTGCTCAAACATCGGTGCTTCGTGAAGGACGCGTCGAGTGGCCAGAGTGTCGATCGACCACGTCACTCTTGCTTTATTTGGTAGCCTTAATATATTGATACATTTTGCGGGAAATGTATTCCCCTACGTGTTCGCATTATAAGACAAAATAAGAATGCCTTCGTCGGTTTTGTGCCCTGGTGATGAACAAGTGAACTATGTGACATTGCAAACTGTCATTGATGTACCAAGCACGACTCGTTAAGCTATATTACACAAAGGGCAAAAACAATTTAATTTGAATCAAAACAGAAATTGTTAAAACCAATTAGTGACATATTGAACAAATTCTAAAAGGGTTCAATAAAAATATGACATAATGATCAATTAGTTACTGAAAAACTTTTAATAATGCTAAGGAATTCTAAACAGCAATTGTCGAACATTGGATTTACTGTGAGTGCAGTTGCATGCCTGTAGTAGTAGTAGTGCAGCTGAGCAATGGGACCAAGATGTTGCAAGGGTATGGGCAGGAGACGTGGAAACACAGTGACACCATAAGGAGATGGTCTCACCACAGAAGGAGGACGGAGCCTTCCTGCAGAAGTACCTAGCGAGGGTTTTCATCACGAGGACCCGTAGTGTGGTCTTCACAGAGTCAACTAGTATAGTCGACCACAACCATATATTTGATATAATCCCTCTAACCCTTTCATACGAGTATTTTATTAATTCTTTAGTGTACAGAGAGTAGGCAGGGATGATTTAGGTGTCAAGTGTGCTTGTTTTTTTTGGGTGGGGTTTCATTCGCTTCTGTTGCTTTATTGATTTGTAAGTAAATGCTCATTATGATGCTTGTAATGACTGGGTTCTGACAAGTGATCCTTCGCATACAACGATGCTTGCAGGTAAGCAATCAACGTTGTTCGCTGTTACACATAGGAGACGGGACCAAATATATTGAAGAATGGAAGACCAATGTTTAGTGAACCAAGTGTTACGTAGAAAGTTATATTTCACTCTTGTATGGCATCATTTTAATATAAATATGGGTGTTTATTTAGTGTTTACAAAATAGCAGAGATTACCTATACATCTTTATGTGATAGATATTCTAGATATTTCTCCCCTGTACTTAGTGACTCCGACGGTATGTTGAAGCCTGAATGGGAACAACTGTACAGCGTTACCACTTCATTACTTAGGGGAAAGACGGGGGTAGGGGGTCATAACTATTGTGAACTACTGATCCAGTTCTGCTCCGTGGGGTCAAATTCTGCTCCATGGGTTAAATTCTGCTCCATGGGGTCAAATTCTGCTCCACGGGTTAAATTCTGCTCCGTGGGTTCAAATTCTGCTCCATGGGTCAAATTCTGCTCCGTGGGTTCAAATTCTGCTCCATGGGTCAAATTCTGCTCCGTGGGGTCAAATTCTGCTCCACGGGTTAAATTCTGCACCGTGGGGTCAAATTCTGCTCCATAGGTCAAATTCTGTTCCGTGGGGTCAAATTTTGCTCCATGGGTCAAGTTCTGCTCAGTGGGGTCAAATTCTGCTCCGAGGGTCAAATTCTGCTCCGTGGGGTCAAATTATCCTCCGTGGGTCAAATTCTGCTCCGAGGATCAAATTCTGCTCCGTGGGTCAAATTCTGCTCCGAGGGTCAAATTCTGCTCCGTGGGGTCAAATTCTGCTCCGTTGGGTCAAATTCTGCTCCGTGGGTCAAATTCTGCTCCGTGGGTCAAATTCTGCTCCGAGGGTCAAATTCTGCTCCGTGGGTCAAATTCTGCTCCGAGGGTCAAATTCTGCTCCGTGGGTCAAATTCTGCTCCATGTGTCAAATTCTGCTCCATGGGTCAAATTCTGCTCCTTGGGATGAAATTCTTCTCCAAGGGACAAATTCTGCTCCGAGGGTCAAATTCTGCTCCGTGGGTCAAATTCTGCTCCGTGGGTCAAATTCTGCTCCGTGGGTCAAATTCTGCTCCGTGGGTCAAATTCTGCTCCGTGGGTCAAATTCTGCTCTGTGGGTCAAATTCTGCTCCGTGGGTCAAATTCTGCTCCGAGGGGCAAATTCTGCTCCGTGGGTCAAATTCTGCTCCATGTGTCAAATTCTGCTCCATGGGTCAAATTCTGCTCCTTGGGATGAAATTCTTCTCCAAGGGACAAATTCTGCTCCAAGGGTCAAATTCTGCTTCTTGGGATCAAATTCTGCTCCAAGGGACAAATTCTGCTCCATGGGTCAAATTCTGCTCCAAGGGTCAAATTCTGCTCCATGGGTCAAATTCTGCTCCATGGGTAAAATTCTGCTCCGTGGGTCAAATTCTGCTCCGTGGGTCAAATTCTGCTCCTTGTGATCAAATTCTGCTCCATGGGTCAAATTCTGCTCCATGAGTCAAATTCTGCTCCGTGGTGGTCAAATTCTCCTCCGTGGGTAAAATTCTGCTCCGTGGGTAAAATTCTGCCCCGTGGGTCAAATTCTGCTCCGTGGGTCAAATTCTGCTCCGTGGGTCAAATTCTACTCCATGGGTCAAATTCTGCTCCGTGGGTCAAATTCTGCTCCATGGGTCAAATTCTGCTCCGTGGGTCAAATTCTGTTCCTTGGGTCAAATTCTGCTCCGTGGGTCAAGTTCTGCTCCGTGGGTCAAATTCTGCTCCGTGGGTCAAATTCTGCTCCTTGGGTCAAATTCTGCTCCGTGGGTTAAATTCTGCTCCGTGGGTCAAATTCTGCTCCATGGGTCAAATTCTGCTCCGTGGGTCTAATTCTGCTCCGTGGGGTCAAATTCTGCTCCGTGGGGTTAAATTCTGCTTCGTCCGAGGTTTCAAATCTGCTAAGGGGCAAATACTGTTCCGTGGGGTCAAAATCTGCTTCGAGGGTCAAATTTTGCTCCGAGGGTCAAATTCTGCTCAGTGGGGTCAAATTCTGCTCCGTGGGTCAAATTCTGCTCCGTGGGGTCAAATTCTGCTCCGTGGGGTCAAATTCTGCTCCATGGGTCAAATTCTGCTCCGTGGGTCTAATTCTGCTCCGTGGGGTCAAATTCTGCTCCGTGGGGGGTCAAATTCTGCGCATGGGAGTCTGCGCATCTTCTCGTCGTGTCATACCGGAACGCGCTCTACATTTCTGGTACCCGAACGAAATATTGGTGTTTGTCTAGATTCTGGTTGTAAGGTAGTACAAAGTCACCATCGCCTAACGTGATGATTTCAACGACTCGTTGACGTGAGAGATGTAAATAAGCTTAACTAATCCACTCCTGTCCTGCTCTAGCGACGTTAAGACACACTCAACTAATTCTCTGGAGCTTTCAGAGTCAGTCGTGGGCATTTTGGTCCTTTAATATGAAGACACAATTGGTTCTTGATTAAAACAAAAATATAATTTGTTTTTTTCCTTTGTGACAAGTAGTGCGTAATATATTTGATTACTGAAAATGATATATTTTTGATTTATCACATCAGGAAATATTGTTGGGGAACATTGAAGGTCTGTATCGATGCCCACAGTGTACTTGAGCAGCGTTTCATAGTCATTAGGCATTCTACAATTATATATGAGATGCAAGTTAGCGGAAGATTTGCAATATTATTAAAAGACAAATCTTCTAAGAATTTTTTTTTGTTAATCTTTGCAATCAACCAATAACCAAAATTCTCAAAGACTTTGTTATACACGAATACACTGAACACGTGAAGCAGTTGTAGTGGAGTTATTATTATTATTATTATTATTATTATTATTATTATTATTATTATTATTATTATTATTATTATTATTATTTATTATTATTATTATTATTAAAATTATTATTACTATTATTTTTATAATTGTTTGTATCTGTATGCACGGCGTGCCATGAGTGACACTGATAGTGAGTGACGAATAAGTTTAGACAGGGTGTACTGTCGGCCATGTTGTGAGGTGTGTTGCTGTCCTCATGACGCACTTCTCCACGTGGCATCAAGACAGATGCACTCCTGCTCACGCACTCATGATGTGATCTGCATATGAGTGAGAAAATTCGTAGAAGCCGTGGTGAGGGTTCGAGCCTATGTGGTGGTTCGTGGCTTAGTTGACTAGGGCGTGTGAGTGGGATCATTCAGCGCGTAGGTTCGAATCCTCATCACCAGCTCTACGGATTTTCACATCGATGCAGTCACGTTTGTGTGATTATTATCTGTGTATTGAAAGAGGAGCAACTGGAACCTGACCACCCATCACCAGGGAAAGAATTACCCAGACACAGGTATAGATTAGCTTGGAATAGTCAGAAAGATTAAGCGGTCAGAGAATATATATGAAATAATCTATACCAGTTTCTGGGCAATTCTTTCCCTGGGGATGGGTGGTCAGGTTCCAGTTGCCTCCACTCTCCCTTTGTTTCTCTTAGTCTGGTGTTGACAACGGCCTTGATTGGCCGATACGTTCATCTCCCTTTCCTATTTCTCTGTGGATTTTACGCATACAAGTGATCAGTGTTTCGTGATATATATATATATATATATATATATATATTATATATATATATATATATATATATATATATATATATATATATATATATATATATATATATATGACAGTGTCAGACCACGGAGGAAAATTGAAAACAGGAATTTCTTTAAGTACTTTCGCATATTAATACATCTTCAGAAGGAGTGGTTTTACAGGTCAAGTATTGGACATATATAGGCAGGAGAGAATGGTGCAGTGAGGTGAGGTACAATAACAAATGAATGGAATTAGGTGGACACAAATATGAGCCACACAAGAACTGCAGAAGGCCTATTGGCCCATACGGTGCAGCTCCTATTCATACCCACCAGCAGGCTCACACATGGATAATAATAGCATAAGATAG